AAGGCCCAGGCCCTTGAATTCAAGACCTAAAAAAAAACCCTGAAAGTGAGCATGTCTCCTAATAAATAGACACAATACCAAGACAGTCTGCATGTATGTATAGTTATTAAAAGAGAGTTAGGGGGTAGCTAAATTAACAGTGATTAAGTATTACTGTTAAAAAAAAAAGTTTTTCTTCAGTGGAACATTTTGGTTGTTGACTAATAATATCAGAGATGGTTGGACCCAGAAGTACAAAAGTGTGATTTTTACAGAAGAGCATCTGTGTACACATTCTTGAACAACTTGCATTCATGTACTCACGGCTAACTTGAACAACTTCTGAACATGTATGTACGTAGTACTTACTGTTCGAGAATTTTTTTTTTACAATAAGTAGAAGTGATAATACGGCCTTAAATCCTCATTTTTCCTGGTTTACTTAGAACAGTAAATGGTTAGAGCAGCATAACTAGCAATGTAAAGGTTACTCTCTGTAATTAAGTTTACTACATAAAATTTATGATAGGCTTTTTATGGTGGATAATGGGATGGCAATTAAAACACCATCATCGTTTGTCCTTGGGGAAATTTAAAGTATGCTGGGAGTGGGAGAGAGGGGGTGATAAATGTTACTGCTTACACATATATATTTGTAACAGAGAGTAGTAAGAATTCATTTGTTCATGAGGGTGAGAGCTTTAAGTGTGTTTCACTAATTGGGAAAGTTTGTCCTGTGTATTGCAGACTAAATGGCGATTCAACTAGAAGAGAAATTGTACTATTTTTCTTTAGTATAATTACTTTGCCTAAATGTACAAGCTTTAGACTTGTGAACACTAGTGTTACTGATCAGAACATGAACATGATACTGACAAAATAATTATTAATTTATACTGATTACTGAAGTATTTAATTTTGTGGATGAAATGTCAAAAATGATGATTTCCCAGAGAGTGCACTTGCTGTTTATTACTGGGCAAGTGCACTATCTACTTCTCTGTAGAGGAAAGGAATAGACTATAACCATAGCCTAGCCAAAATGAGTGCACATGAAATGTGTAAAATGAATTTGATGTATGTAAGTAATTTTTTGGTAGGGGGATGGGGGTGGAGGGTCAGAAATTATATTTTACTCTTAAAAAATACCACGCTTTGGAGTAAAAAAAAAATACTGAGATTTCAGATTGATGTGTGTTGTGTGACAGATTTTGGTTACCCACACTTGGTATGCTGTGACTAAGCTGGTGCCCGCCCCCTATGCCATGATAGCTGTTTCCTTTAGGCTGTTACAATCCTCGTAATCCTCTCAGTGGCTGCTGTGGTCACTCAAGTAGAAAAATTGTTGATGCTCGTAGATAGCTGTGAACAAGTGGACCGAGAAATGTCAATTTCACTCTGATCATTAGCTGTACCTATTAAAAGCTTTTTCTCCCTTCCTTTTAAATTTATCTGTGCATTCTTAAGAAGTGTATCTCTATATGCTTAAATTTTTGTACATTCTTTGTTTATTGGGGTTAGACAGAAGTTTAATTGTTTGGCATAATTTCAGCAGTTGCAACAAAGTAATTGTAGAGTTTCAGTTGGTTCTATTAAAGACCAGAAAACAGGTTGTTATTTCTGCTATATCTAATGTGGGTTTTTTTTGTGTGTGTGTATAACGCTGTTAGAAGTCTTTACGAAATTATCGCCAATGTTCCAGATTGCCGTTATGATACCTGGTCGACGTTTGAATTATTGATCATTTCTGCAACTTTTCAAAGCTTTTATCTGCACATGATGTTTGCTGAGCATTGTTTCCTAGTCTTGGCGAGGTGTCTGCAGTTTTGGAGTATTGTTGTCTCATAATACACAGGCATTAACTTCTGTGGCTGAATCTATGAGTGCTCTAATCAGATAATGGGTATTAGGTCCCAGAGAAAGGGGACCATACAAAAAAATCCACTGGAATGGCTGTAATCATTAGAGATAGTGAAAAAAATTACTTGATCTTGTGAACTTATTTCAGAAAATAGATCTATATTTTATGTGCAATGTGTAGACAGGTGAATTTCTCACAGAAATGGCAGGAGATTGTGCCAATGGTTCTTTTAAACAAAAAAAATTTAAATGTCAATTTGTGTTAATTTTTATTAAGATTAAGAATTTATGAGGAAAATGCAGGGACTTGATAGAGAATTGAAAGTTACAACAGCTAGCTTTTATTATTGCAAATTTTTAGAATTTTTTTTATTTGACTTTTGAACATGTCATTGTCAGTAGTTTTGCAAATTCAGTTTGAATTTAAAATCGATGCAAATGATGTTAGCATTCATATAAGCATAATTAAGAGAGACTTGCATATAGATACTGCATAAAGGAAGTGAGGAATTATTCATATATATCACTATTTTCATGGATTTTGTGAGGTTGTAAAGTTGAGAAACATGATAGAATATTGTTTGTGTAGAATCATAATTAATATGTGACATTTGATTATTAATTAATACATGTAGTTAAATACTTGAGCATGAATTCAAATGCCTTTGTTTGGGTATCTGTGAACAATAAACATCTAGTGTACAATGTAAAGTGCACATGAATCTTCTTTTGAATCGTACCAGATATTGTGCTTTGATCGTAGTGCCTCAATTATCCATGATTGTCATAATGAGTTTCAACTCCTGTTTAAGTTTATAAGTAAGAATTATGAATTACCCCGCCTGATGTCATGATTTGGGATTAACCCTTATCATCAAACAAGGTTTCAGTTTAGTGCACCTGTGTCCTTTGCCTTAGAGGTAATGAATTTAATAACTGTAGCATTCTGTATATATTTACAGATTCTGTTTTGTGTAATTATCCCCATCTCCCAACTTGATGGTTTTGATCCGGCCTGCCTTTTGACCCAGGGGCAAAAAAAAAAAAAGCTGTCAATATTCAATATTGTGCAATTTTTGTTAATGGTATCAGTGATTTTCATTTTAAATTATAGGACACCATTATAGACAAATAGATGTGAGACATGTAGAATATCTTATATGTTTATCTGGGAAAATTATACAGATTACAGAGATGGATAATGTCAAATATTTACTGTATTTAATGGTTACCAGGTATTCTGCTCTATTTCCCTTTATTTTTTTCTCCCCTCTCTTTTTCACATGTGATAGGGAAAAAAAAAAATTAATCATATTACCAAGTAATAACAATTATTAGTAATTTTAAAAACACTGTATTAATTATATTAATAACTTTTGACAATGCCTTGTTTTAGCTCTTTATTCAAGGACAAAAAGAGTTAGAGTGATCAATATATTTACACTTTGGAAAGACATGTCTGTGTGTGTATCAGTATTTCTGTAACATCTTGCTCCATGTAGAGCTATTGACAAGCCCTTATTGAATGATTTCGTCAAGGAGTATTGATCGAACCACTTCCCATAGAGAGTAAGAGCTATTTGTGCCCCGACTTATCGTTTTCGAATGACTTGCACTTGGCCAAGAAAACTTGTGTTTTCCAATTTAGATTATGCAACTTGAGAGTGATTTATGAACATGACAGATAATTTTTGAATAGAAAGCAGAGGCGTAATTAAGTGGAACATATGAAGTGGTATTAACGGGTCCGGTTTCATTTCATGTCAAGAGTTACTTGTTACATGTATTTAGTGTAAACTTCTGAGATGATGGCAGGGTATCAAAAGATGCAAATTTTTATTTTCTAACTAATGATCATAATTGTGATAATTAAAGGATATAGGCAATTTTGAATATAATATAATATAGATTTCTTGAAGAAAATGTCAAATAGATTTCTAGCTAACTTAATATTTTCTTTACTAGAAGCATGCTTGGGCAATGAAAACAATAGAAAACCAGCTGGGATATTAGTGTTATGCATGTATTCCATTTCTCTGTCATACGTACATCATGTCAAATGCTGAATCCTAGACCATATATTAAGTATGTGAAATATATGTATATGAATTATGCTGGACACATCACATTTTATTAGAAGATATTCATATATGTTGTAAATTGCATTTCTGCACTAAGCATTCATGAGATTAAAAAAAACAACAACAAAAGATTGCATCTTCTTCAGAATCTTAAAAAAAATAGTTATTGGGGGGGGGGGGGAATTTAGGCATTCATCTAAGTAATAATGAAAAAGACATCATTTCTATACTCATGACCTATGAAAAGTAGCTAGGGTACAATTGATGGAAATCTACACAGAGTATCTGAAATTTCAGCTCTTACTCTTTGAAAAGTAAAATGAAAGTACTTGATATTTTATCTTTAAGATAAATGTACATGTTTGTATTTTTAGTATTGATATGAAACATATAAAAATATTTAAGCATTTGCCAAAGGCTGATAGAATGGCAGAATATTGTTGATTTCAGTTTTTTTTATGTCTGGTATCGGTAATCAAAGCATTGATATAATGATACTGTACATTGCCTTGTACACAATCAAGCCCTCTGGTTAGATCACTGACCTGTGAAATTGGCAAACAAAATTTTTTTCCTCTTTTTTATTTACAAAGGTAGTTTAGGACACAATACATGATTTCATTTGTTTAACATACATTTTTACCCAACAAAGATTTTTCTCTCATGTTGTCATGTTTGTTTTACAACACTTGTCGTCCCTAAGTTTACTTAAGAAAGAAAAACCCATTATTTCAGATAGACCTGTGTTTTAAGTAGAATACAGATTTTTTTTGGGGATGAACATAATAGCATTTATAATTCAGTTAGGCATTGATCCGATTCCGAGGGTATCGTGGCATCGGTACATCTAGGTCAGAGGTCAGCAGATAGGATCAGTATTAATGCAGTATATCATAAATCTTATTAATAACGTGGCTGCACACATTCAATAACCAAAATATTGAATTTTTTGGAACTTTGCAGAGGATCAGATAAGTTTGATGCTCAGATAGCATTGGAGGGATCTATACGGTGTTTTAGTTGTGAACCATCTGTGTTGGATATTGTTTATTTGGAGGTCCCTCTGTGTGGCATATGTTTGAGAGAGGTTGAGTGCCAGAGGTTGGAATTTGTAGGAAGTGGGCAGGATATGCATGACTGGTCACACTTGCAGGTGAGGTTTCACATTCCTTTTCAACTGTTTTAGGACTATATTTAGCATTTTTTACTCTGGATGTAGTAGGTGATGTTTGGAGATATCGAAAGTATCATCAAGTTGACCTGATTCAGGACAGAAGTTTGATGTGATGAGTTACTTCTTACAAATTTTGTGCAGTTCGTACGCACAGATTCACTGTTTTCTATAAAGTTAGGAATGGTTAATAAAATGGATCTGATAATTGATTGAAGTACGCATTTTACTGCATACAGCACATGGCTGATGTATCATGGAACATTTGACATCTTTCATGGTAAAATAGCAGAATGTAGAGCTAAGAAATAAAGTTCACAGTTCATAATATACTCTGCGGAACTGATTGAACGGTTTTGTGTTTCAAAGTGACCATATATCATTTGGAGATCCATTTAAGTGTTTTCTACCATTCTCTAATGATAACGATGTCAATACTTTTCTGTCAAACACATCTTTTGTGTTTTTAGCTTTTGGGGTAGCTTAGAGAAAGGGAATATTGGCTTTTGCTTATTTGCCAACTCGTTTATTACACTCACAATAGAATGCTTGCATCTCTGAGACGGGGTTATGGATATATCAATATTTTTGTTCACACCAGTAAATGGCTATTCATCTCCGGGAAGTGACAGAAATTTCCAGTCTTATCGCATGGTAATCTAATTTGTGCTTCAGCACTGTTATACTCTGTGGACAGTCTGTGACACTTGAAAGAGGGAACCAGGAGTCCCCAGTGATGGTTTCTGATCAAGTGCCAGTTTTTTGGAGGAGACTGTAGGACTTTGATGTGAGAGACTTGCTAATAGTTTGTCCCCAGAGTGGAGGGTGGAATGACAATCTACTTAGAATGATGATATGGATATTTGGTGTGAAGTACTTCTATCATTTGCTGTTGACAGGCAAACCATAGGGATTTTTGAGAAGTGCAGGTTGATTGAAAACAAAGCTAGTATTTTTTCACAGAAGTATATATAGTTTTTAGGCACACCCTGTAATAGTCATAAAAGTACATCAGTTGTAAGGACATGAGCATGATGAGGTCAGATGAGAGTTATTCATACAAGCCTCAGAGGTTAAGAAGGAAAAATTATCCCATGTTGTAGGAGTAAGGGAGATAATTCAGTGTGTATTGTGCAACAGAAGTACATGTACCATTGACCACTATATCCTTTGTATTGTGATCTTGAAATCATGCAGTCTTGCATCATTAGAATAAATTAAAACATAGAGATCTGTTATTGAATCATTTATCAAATGTATGAAAGGTCTGCACATAATTCTCTGATTGAAAAAAAAAGTTTAATATGAATTTAAAATTGTTTAACTGGAAAAAAAGATAAGAGGTGCCTATTGAACAGGGTGCATAATTTCCTTAAAATTGAAATCACAGCAATACCAGGTACTTTATTGACACACACTCATGAATCACCTCCAGACCAGACTTAAATGCAGTGAAGTCACAGTAGTTTATCTTGTTTAATGGAGATTTCTTATCAGTGTTACCTTCTTTATTAGGTACATGGGTAATACACCAAGGTATGTGATACTGAAGTTTATCTTTGGTACAAGTTTATAAGTATCGAAGAAAGTTTTATGTATCAGTTACAATAATCTGTGATTGGATCCTTATGCCTTGTAACTCAGGGTTGTCCCTAATATCGAGCGCTGGGGAATTTCCCCGCCTATAATGATGTAATCCCCAGGTTATTTTGGAATTCCTCCTAAACTCCTCATTAGGGAAGGAACCCCAGATCCTCTTCTACTTTTTAAATGTCCCCTTCTCTTTCAATTCTTAGGGACAACCTTGCTTACTATTCAGTCTTGTATCTTCACATGATTCCTGTGTGGTACAGATAAAAAGAAGAGGTCATTTTATATCTAAGAGAACAAAAAATATACAGTCAAACCTCATCATCTCCAACTCAATGGGACCTAGGAAAAAACTTAGAGATATTCGAGGGTTTGAGATATTGAGGGTAAAATACTAAGGAAATATGTGGTTAGAACTTCCCAATCAATCCAATATTAATATAAACATGGTATTCAAGATATCCATGTTCGAGATACCGAAGTTCAACTGTAAGTTTCATCCACATTTATATCGCCTTTTGCAAGTTTTAGTAAGACCAAAAAAAATAATAGTCTTGTTTCCTGCTACCAGCCTGCAAAAAATAGGGTAGGTAGGTAGGAAAATTATTTTATTTTATATTTTTATTTTATTTTTTTCCGACAACATTTTTTGGATATGAACTAATACAAGATAAAATTAAACATGTCACAGGTCAATATTGTCTTGCAGAATTAAATTTCATGTCTTTTTATGCACAACTCAAGTGGTATTTTATGAAAGTCCATGTTTAAAACAAGAATTTCATGAAATGCTTGTTTTGTGTTAACACAGAAACCGATTAAGGTGACAGAATGTTGAAATTCCAGAAAATCCCAATTTTTTTTTCTTCCAAAATTAAAAAAAAAACTTTAGGGTTGGGTGCAAAAAAATAGGGTAGGTCGGGTAGCAGGAAACAAGACTATTATTTTTTTTGGCCTAATTTCATTGACAACTTGTAACATTTTTGCAGAGTAAAGTGCACATGCCTTTGAAAGAAAGGTAGAGGTGGAGCATTAATTGGGTTAAAACTGAAGATTCTTGGGCTAGTGACAAAAATTGAAGTCAAGGGATGTACAGAGTACTTATCTTTAAAAATAAATTCACTTGAATTTCTTTTGATTCATGTACAATTGAACAACACTCACATTTCACAAAGAATCAAATTGACTATTGTATGTATTGTATGCATCAAACATGCTAGGTAAGGGATTTATAGAGCTCTACATGTACTTAATGTAGATCTACTAAGTCCCACTCTTTCCATGTTTTCTGTGAGGTCACTATACAATAATTTATCTTAATCTACCATGAAAATATATCCCGCAAAATACAAATGAACCAAGACTTTTTGTTAAAGAAACTGTTTGCCGGATGAGTGAATGCTCTTAATAATTTCACTAGCTTGGTTAGATTACTAGCACTGATCAATGGGAGAGTGGGTTATCTGCACCCCCAGGTTAACCAAGGGCAATTTTGATTGCACCATGGATGTAATTTTCAAACATTTAAACATTTTCTATACAGAAACCATTCACTCAAGAGATGACTATGATATATATATATATATATATATATATATATATATATATATATATATATATATATGCTTTGCAAGTTATAATTAAAACGTGTAAGTCCATGGTTAATCTGTGATAACATTCACAGAGTAACCTGACATGCAAATCTTAATATTTATAATTACAAAAGAATAGAATGAATTATTATATATGATTACATTAAACATTCAATGTAGAATGTAAATATTTACCTGAGGCTGGTATGGACAAACAAACAATAAGCAATTGAGCATTTTTCAATCTATAAATTGTCCATTATACTTAACTGAGATTTATACCTGTACATGTAGAAAGTATCAGCCAGTAGAGAATTTGGTTGAATTTGATTACACTTTTAAAAATAAAAAATAATCAACATTGCTCGTATCTGTATAATGTATTATACATGTGATGTCTATTTTGTAGATGCTGTACAGCTGACATGACATGTGGTTTGAGGTAGAATGAGCCCAGACTCTGGGGATGAGTGACCCCTTGTCCCCGCGGGCCCCCAGAAAGGGCAAAATTGTCAATATCAGGATCAAGTTTTTGGATGACACTGTACATGTTTTTCAAGTCCCGGTAAGTTAATTTTTTCTCTCATACACATGTATACTAACAAAAGTAAGTATATAGATGGAGTTAAAAGAATTCTTTTGTTTTTAACAACCATGTCCTTTAATTAAGCTTTTTGTGTAGACGCAGAGCAAGCTTTCTAAGGATATAATCTAATTTCTGACAGTTTTTCCACTAGAGAGAGCATCACGTAGGTCTTTGTATATCAGTGTCATGGCATCCTGTTGGTCCGTTTGGGATCCATCAGGAATACTGTATTGGAACCACTGTGCCACTCTCTTGACTTGTTTTTGTAGATTTAAAATGTATGCTGGGGATAATTTTGAGAGAAAATCATATACACTGTTGCTCTTGGAATGCATATAATCATAAGGAATGGTGACAGTGAATTTGGTGAAGTTGAAGTGATTTTGAAATGCCCAGGCAGATGGATGGTCAGGATAAGGAAATAGAACGGGGATGCAACCACTCAAGAGGGAGTCATAAAAGGATTTCCTAGTGGGGGAATCCCCTGGGGGCTGCAGACAGAAGACAGAATGTAGCATCCAGGGCACTGTTGTGTATTTAGCTTTGCGATCACATTCCGATGTTTTCAACATTATCATATTTATGCTCGAGTTCTTCTGTCTAGATTTCATGTACTCTCGGTAGGACAGGGTGGTTTTGTTTGTGAACTGGTCCAGGATAATGACACGATATGGAGTAGATCTTCTTGTGCTTGCTGCTAAAAGTATGAATACATTCCGCTGCGAATCATTAGGGAAGTCTCTTAGAAGACTGTTTTTCCTTGTCAAATGAATGTAGCTTGGATATGGCACTGATATGACTTTCTGCCTGAGGAAACTCAGGTATTTTGTTTCCTTCTCAATAGACAAAAAAGTGATGTTTTGAGTCTGAGGGTGTAAGAGATAAGGGCAGCTTCCATTGGATGACATCTCTCTCTCAATCTTTCCAAGAGAGGAAAAATGGGGTTTCCCACTGGAAAAGTATGGTGTGGAGTTCAGGTAACTAAACAATTCATTGATCAGTGATATGGTGGTTTTAACAAGGGGATACGAGGCGAGCAGGCACTGTAAACTAATGTAGGCTGGGATGTAGAAATAATCAGCCTGGTGTGGATCAAGTGTTCGATAAGGGCTGAACTGTAACTGATGGTGCATGAGGACTTCCAGAGAGAACTGATGGCTGTCCTGAACATGAACACCTTGTTCAATGTCAAAAAGCCTGGATCCACTTCCACAATATTCAAAGGAGTAGCACTCAGGGTGTTGGAGCTCGAGACGAGTTTGGATGTCAGAGTTAAATTTCCGGGGAAGCTCATAGATGTAGATTTTGAAGGGAGTTTGGAAGTCAGGATGAATTGTTGCTTTGGATCTTGAACAACTTCTTGGATCAAAAGTGAGGTTTTCTCTGAAAGAAAACGGTAGAATTGAATATTAATAAAAAAAAAAATGCCTGTGATAAGATCTTATTAGAACACTTGGGGTGTTAGGAAAAAAATTAAAAGAGCAAAAGTATATTAATATGATAAAAACATGTCTAGTTGTGTATTCAGCTGTAGATCTATGATTAAGTTATCTCTACAGGATATTGTGATCTAAGCTGGGGAGGGATTATATTTATCTGACAAAACATTAAAAACAACATTTCAAAATATACTTGATTTGTGCCAGAATTGAAGCTTTTGGGGAAAGTCTATCAAATTTCAGTAGTTTAGATTCGTTGCAAAGTCTGAAAACAATGAATTAAAAAGGTATGTAATGAATACAATGAACACATGATCAATAATTTGTAAATCCTCACCTTCCAACTGCAGCATTTTTTGTCAATAAAGACTCCTTTGAAGTATTAGACTTTGATCTCACATTTGTAGGAGCTACTGATCTGCCGTCATATACATGATGAAGTACGAACTTCTCGTGAAGAGGTTCCGATTTTTGACTGAGGTGGAAAGATTCCTCACGGAATCGTCCTGTTTTCTCACTGAGATGTTTGGAATTTTCATTGAGTAGTTCTGAAATCTCAACTGCTCTTTCTTTTCCTGATTCTGTGCGGTATCTTGGAATAAGGTGTTTCCTGTGACTGGCGTATCTGTAGAGAAAAATGAGCTGGACGATGACCACTAACCCGGTGGTACCCAGTAGAAAACGTTCAGTTCTGGGAGATAACCTCATGTGGCATCACGTTAAATCCTAGGACATTTTAACTTATGAAATTCCTTTGAAAGCCATCACAAAATTGATTCAAATACTGCATATCTCTATATGTATGGACATTCACGTACAGACTCGGAGTTGTAGCTCAGTCCTACTTGTATATTCATCATACATATGATAGTAGATGCAGAAACACATCTGTTACTGGATACGTTTGATTAAAAATCAGGGTTACACAAAGGGCATCAAAAAAGGCTCAATAGACATCAAGTAACATCTTGTTGTGTAGGTATATATACAACCAGGGGGACTAGAAGAGTTTCTGTGTAATGAATATATAATAGATCCTGTTTATATTATGGCATAGATCCTGCTTGCCGAAAGGGCAGTGGGGCAATTTGTTGGTTTTAAATAATCATGATAATTGATAATTATAAATGTAAATTCAATAGAAACGTTTTATTGGCATGTGTTGAATAAAACTGTTCCAAGAACACATTCAATTAGATTATAAGCACAAGAGGTGGGGGACTATATATCATCCAATAGTATTACATGTATTGATTTCTTTTCTATCTCAGCCCATGCAATTCCTTGGTGTCAATGATACATGTACACTTCTAGTATGCAGTCTAACAAAACTCATATATACTTTCTTTGTTCATTTTATTTTCAAAACATTCTTTTTATGAAATGTCAGTAGCACAGTTAATTAAGTCATTTTTTCTTGTGTTTTTGCCCTTACAACACATACAGTAATCATGGTAGTGACAACTGGCATTCTTTGTAATGTGATGCATTTTGCTTTTGATAAAATTGACAAAATACATTTAAAGACTTGAATAATGTTGTGTTTAGTGTAGTACTGCCTTAAAACTGAAAGTCCTTGGCTGTATGATGTCACAGAGATGGTATTTTGTCCATATATTGAATGATTGAATGAGTGTGACCTTTTAACCTCCATTGATAGGTCAAGGACATTGGGCGGTCCCTATGGGAGGCAGCAGTTCATCATCTACAGTTAGTGGAGAGTGACTATTTTGGACTGCAATATGAGGATTCTCACGGACTCAAGGTAAAACCTTTGTAATAATCAGCATTACTTGTTTTCCATCAGGTGGTAACAACCCCCCCCCCCCCCCAAAAAAAAAAAAAACTCTTTTTCCGTGTAATTTAGAAAGACTTTCTCAATATATATTTCCCTTTACATTTTGAGACCCAGACGAGCTATATTCCATTGGATAAAGTTTTTATTGTCTGTCTCACTTTCAGTCTCCCTGAAAACATTTAACAATTTTTTTTTTCAAAATGCTAGACCTACAGTTTTTGTCTGTGTTCAATGTTACCACATATGTATGAAATTTTAAAAAAAAACAAAGACTTGAGATGGTCAGATTTTTATGTGTTAATTGATTTACAGTGCTGGCTGGACAATGAGAAACCGGTACTGAAACAGTTACCCTCCCCTGACTCACCCCTGGAGTTCCTGGTGAAGTTTTACACTCCAGATCCAGGCATGTTGGAGGAGTACACCAGGTAATATAATATCCATAAAACAGGGTAGATTTACAGTCAAATCTTGTTATTTAGGACTCCTTAGCATGGAGGAAAAAAAATGAGATATATATTGGGATTCTTGACAATGGTGTTAAAAAATGATTGGGATTTCTAGCACATTTTGACATCCATAGTATTAGAGATACCAATTTTCAAAGTAATGAAGTTCAGCTTTTTACTAAATGTGAAAAAGGCATTCCATAGCTGAAGGAATAGAGAATAAATGTTTTTGAGGGGGGAAATCTGAAATACAATAATGATAAATTTCAAGCTTGATTCCATGAACAAATATTTTGTTTGTTTGTAGGTACCTGTACAGTCTTCAGATCAAGAAAGATCTAGCTAATGGATCCATGGTGTGTAGCGAGAACACAGCGGCTCTGATAGCCTCCTACATTGTTCAAGGTAACTGTCTCTGTGCTTGCATGGCAGTGAAGCATTGTTGCGAGTTTGGCTAAGACCTGTTGTCATGAATCTGTAAGCTCAAAATTGACAGTGTACCTGATGAATAGTTCTTAGAAAAATTGTCAGCCTTGCTAAAGAATTACATGCCTTGAGCTAGCATGCTGAAAACCAATTTTCTCTTTGGCTGGCATGCTGATTGTAAATACATTACACTGTATTTGTAATCATTTTAATGGTTTAGTAATATACACAAATTATAGATAATTATAGTGTAACTAGAACTTTTAGTTTCAAAGATTTTCATCTTCTAATTGAATTACTGTAGATTAATATGAAAAGATAATTTCAGAATTATATTGTTTGTGATAATTGTATTTCTCTTGTTTTGGCAGCTGAGATTGGGGATTTTATCATTGAGGAGTATCGAGATTACACGTACTTGAAGGTATTGGGTCCATTTGTACCAAACCAAACGGAAGACATGTTGAAGAAAGTCGCAGAGTACCACAAGCAACACATGTAGGCAGTATTTAAATGTTTATACCTCAAGCAACACATGCAGGCAGTATTTAAATGTTTATACCTCAGACAACACATGTAGGCAGTATTTTAATGTTTATACGTCAGACAACACATGTAGGCAGTATTTTAATGTTTATACTTCAAACAACACATGTAGGCAGTATTTTAATGTTTATACCTCAAAAAACACATGTAGGCAGTATTTTAATCTTACGCATGATAAATGGAAGCAGCATTTACATTGCTTGTACACACATCTTAAACTATTACTTTGATCATGAGATGGACGAAATGTTGTCCATTAGAAATTTGTGATTTTCAAATGTTTTACTTGACCTTTGAGCCTTCATTAGTTTTCTGTAAATGTGCTACCTTTCCAGAGTTGATGCTCAAAACCTCTACCAGAAAAGAAATTTTACAAATCAGTAGCATATCATCTGTTAGTAATGAATTAAGTGTGGATTTAGGTAACTAAATTGCTCCTGCAAAAACTGTGTCCTCCATAGTTTGGAATAAAATTGAGCCATTAACGGGGATATTTACTTCCTTACAATGATGGAAAAGAAATTCATTAAGAGGAGTTTATTGGGAAGTTATTTGCTCAGCAATAATTACAGTTTGATTGGTGAGAGGCTTGGTCCATACAAAGTGACAGATATTGATGTGATTCAAAGCTTCAGTTATTTGATTTTACAGAAAGGTGTATTGCAGTTAATTCTCTGGTGAAATGGAAAATAATTCATTTCAAATGAATTAATTGATACAATTCACATCTTGAATTTAAAAAAAAAATATCTTTATTAGACTTTTGATTTGCCCATACATGTACATATTTGTTCTGGTGAGCTTTGTTCATATAACACTTCACATTGTGGTTACATTGCGGGAAATTTTACTATCAGTTTGGGAACTTGTTTGTAAATACCATTTAAACATTGAGTTAGGGATTCAGTAAATGACTAAGATTGAAAATAAAAATGAAATTTGAATGAAACATGTAAAATGACACAGACACCATGATTTAATTCTGTACTAGATCTGTATGAAGTTGTTGGTAGCGTATGGATACCTGCAAAATGTGTGCATTACAAAGCATCAGTTATATTTATTTCAAATTAAAAAAAAAAAATTGTATACATATATATATATTGTTTTTTGATTAAGGTTATAAATTCTAAGTCATTGATTGGTTGTTATTTTTACAGAGGAGAAAGCCCTGCTGAAGCTGAGGCAGGACTTCTAGATACAGCCAGAAAAGTAGAAACTTATGGAATGAAACTTTGTCCAGCCAGGGTAAGCTGTTAAGAAGAAAAAGTTGGGGGGGGGGGGGGGGGGGGAGGAAGAGGTCTGAACAAGCAGATGATATTGTATAAAATTCTGGTTAGAAATTAAGACAGAGATGTCAAATCTGGTATTATACTCTCCATTGACTGTTAATGCTGATGTATAAATTATTTTTTCTTACTGAGTAATTTCTCTAATGAAAATGAAATGTATCTGATGTTAAGAGAACAAAAACATTTAATACGTAATTAAGAACAATGAATTTTCATTATGTAGTTCTTTGTTTCAGGACCACGAGAATGTGACCTTGAGTCTGGCAATAGCTCACATGGGCATCTTAGTCTTTCAGCAGTTCACTCGCATCAACACATTCTCATGGGCAAAAATACGGAAACTCAGTTTTAAGCGAAAACGCTTCCTCATTAAACTTCATCCAGAAACATACGTTAGTGGACAGAAAGTAAGTATTGGCTGTTGTGTACAGAAATGCAGGGTTGTAACTAATTAGGCCTTGATTTCCCAACCGTCACTGTTAAGTAAATACAGTATAATGTGCTTGTTGAAAAGTGCCAGAAGTGATCAATTCTGATGTAGTTCTGATTAAGCATATCTGCTGTAACCTTATTTTACTGTATTCAGATTCAGAAAAAAAATGTTTGGGAGGTTCACAAATATACACATCTCATAGGAAAGTTTTCCTATCAAAATGTAATTAAAATGGAGTATATTACTTTATACAGGGTTGTCCCTAAGAAATGAAAAAGAAGGGGACATTTTAAAAGTAGGAGGGTGTTCTTGGGTTCCTCCCGTAGTCGGGGTTCAGTGGGCAATGCCAGAATAACCAGGGGATTACTTTATACAGAGTTATTTTTGCCCAGTGTTATTTTTGCCCTTTCACAATTACAAAAAAATTTTCCCCATTTTAAATTCGCCCAGTCATGGATTTCTTTAAGAATTCATACTGTTTCCTTTGAATTCGCTCCGTCTTAAATTCATCCACTTGTATCTAGGGCGAAGGGGCGAAAATAAAATAAAGGCAAAAATTTCCCTGTATACAGTATATCATTATAGGCAGGGAAATTCCCTGGCCCCGGGATCTTGTGCAACAACCCTGACTTTATAGAACTGGGGACATACTAGCCCCAGGGGTCATGAGTTGAACAATTTAGTATTTACACTACCCCAGGATGCTTCCATATAAGTTTCAGCTTTTCTGGCCCAGTGGCTCTTGAGAAGAAGGTTTTTAAAGATTTTTCCTATAAATAAAACTGTATATTTTTCACTATGAAAATATATATATAAAGTGTTATACCACATTGTATTAAGGGTTTGTAATGTGTATATTTTGATTTATGTATGATAAGATGTTAAAAATGTAAAGATTGAGTAGGTATTATAATTTATTGGTGCTTATTGCTTCAGATAGTTTCACTTAAATAGTACACATTTAACTGTGAATTATTACTCTTTTAATTTTCATATTTCATAATTTAATGTACAGTTGAACTTTGGTATCTTGAACACCAATATCTCGAATACCATGAATATGTTGGAGTGATTAGGAAGTCCCAACAGCTTATTCTTTATTTAATCCTGGATATCTCAAATCCTTGGATATCTCTAATTTTTTTTTCTCGGTTCAAGATAACAAGATTTGGCCGTATGTTAGTGATTCTTTATTTTCAATGTTCTTGGAGAATTTGTTTGAAAAGGAAATGTTATAGATATGATTTTAAGGACATTGGCAAGTCAAGGTTTTCCGGAGAAAGAAGGTTTAATACATGGGTTTTTTCACTTATAAAATAGTGATTGAGAGTGATCTCCCGTGTAGAATTCTCTAAGCGGTGGAAACCAATAAAGCGTATGTTACAGCGGTAAACAAAAGCACGTGTACTTCCTTCAACGGGTAGAATCATCTATACAGCAAGAAAGAAAAGTAGAAATGGCTTTGTTGTACATTTTATTCAGGGACAAAGAGCCAATAGGTCGTCATTTACGATAGTTGTGCTCAGTATGCTGGGAAGGGCAAAGATGTGACATATGCTGAAAGGTAGGCCGACTGAGAACAGTTCTTAGCTAGGTCGTGTGAAGGAAGCAGCATTTAGTAACTACGAATAAAAAATAAAAATAAAACAATGCCAATATTTTTGTTACAATGTGTTTCAATCAATTAAGTCAACTACATGATTAAAACAATCAACCAGTCTCTTGATCAATTTTAGCTGTTAAGGGAAGCAACTCAGAAATAATGATCGGTGCCGGTATATCCATGTTTTGTTCCGATATATAATTTTTTAGCCAAAATTTCTAGAAGTCATAGGAAATGAAGATACAATAATGTATATAATACAAAAACTGTATGAAATAAGTGGGTTTTGGAAAAATATTATGGTGAAAAATTATGTAGGTCCTTTTTATCAACATTTTACATAGGAAATGCATTGAGAAGTGTAAAAACATTGATTTCACAAAATCTAAAAAAGAAGGTTGGATTGGTAGGTTAAACGGTCCAGAATATAGCCTGTTTAGTACATTTAAACCTACTCAAGAGTTCTTGAAAAATTCTATACGATAACCAGGAACCTTGCCAATGTCCTTAAATATAATCAGTATTAAAAAATTGTCTCTTAGAAAAAGTATGAAAATCTTATTAAATGTCTTGTTGGTTTTTAACACAGGGTTATTACAAAGACACAGTGGAGTTTTTCTTTGACAGCAGGGATTGCTGTAAGAATTTTTGGAAAAAGTGCTTGGAACATCATGCTTTTTTTCGCTGCCATAGAATCAAACCAGTGCCAAGAAACAAGACACGTCTAGTTAGTCATGGATCTTCATTTAGGTAAGTTTAAAGTACCTGGATGTCTTTTACAACATTTATATTTGATACTTGAAGTTGTATGTAGATACTGTCACACATATTTTCTGTCTCTCACCAGAAATTATGATATTAGACATATATTTGAGCTTTGAATGGAAAGTCCAGTGAATAGTCTGAGAAGTATAATGATTTGATATCTATGTACACAATTCTCCTGTTTGTCATGTTAAATTCATAAATAGATGTACTTCATTGTTTTCGTTTTGCTTTTATTTTATTTTCTTTTAATTGTAATCCTTTAAGTACAAATAGAATTTTAAAAAATCAAAACAATTCTCTAGAGAAGGGACTGGGGATATGTTTTTATGTGTTTGTTGTATGGCGTTTAGGCTATCTGTAATTTTAATACCAGATGGTGATATACTTTGCTATTCTAAAAGGAGTTGGTGCCAAATAACCATGACCCAGACATCGTATAAATTTATAATTAACTTCTTATGAGATTATGTGATTTATTTCTTTTTACACACACACGTTGAGATTTATGGGTCTGAGCCGGTATTGAATAAATTTGATTTTTCCTCAAGAAAGCTTGGTCATAAAATGTCCATTAAATGGGTACTAAATCAGGACTGTTTGCTTAATGAGATGAGGAGGAATGTGTTAATCATTGTGTCATGGCTACCTAGAGACTCTCCATATCTTTGTGTTTCATGGTTTAAGGCTTTAGTCTTTTTTGTTTTGCTAGTGTGGTTTCCTCTTCAATATATGCAATGATTTTGGCCCTTTACATCAAACAGTTGTGGTTATTATTTTAAGGGACTGAAAATGATGAAGATATATTTCTAACCTGTACTCCTCCATTTCTTTTCTTTTTTATTGGGGGTGGTGGTGGGGGAGGGGGTGGTATTTAGACCCTAGGAGTAACTGCAGAGATAGTACTGCTCTATTAGCGAGATGTTGACTAAAATGTCAATCAATGGCTCCACTTGAAAATTCAGCCTGGAAGTTTGATTTTTACTGAACATGCAAATGTCCTTCATAAAGTTTGATTAACTCAGAGATAATGTGACTTCTTGATGTGGTTTTATGCGCTCAGACACGAATGCTGATTTGATTATGATGGGTACAAGCAGGAATCTTCTGTTATTGATTGTTAATTTCTTCTAGCATATTGTAATGACTATTCCAGGAGAAAAAAATGGGGGAGGGGGATGGAAGGCACTTTGAGTTTTACCCTACTGCCCATACATCTTTAATTACCTTCTCCCCCACCCCCAATCAAATTCAAAACACTTTTGATACAACAGTGGAAAAGATCATATGAAGCACTGTCCATCCCATCCTGTACATTTTTTTTCTGGAATAGCAGCTAATACAAAAGATGCAAGATTTATGTGTAGGTTTCATATATATATGTAAATTACTGTTTAGCAAAATGAAATATATGATAAACCAAGACATGATTTCATACCTAGTAACTTTTTGTGACATATGAAGGTACTTCGGTTTGTTTATCAAAAATTTCAATGGTCATTCTAAATGATGCCTGTGAAGGTAGGGAAAGAAATGAGGTGTCAAAACAGTAATGGTGACATTCGACTTAACAAAATCTTTGATTCAACCCTTTTATATGCTATTGATGTCTTTACAGATATAGTGGAAGGACACAGAAACAGCTGATGAGCTATGTACGAGAAAACCCCATTACTCCACAGTTCCAAAGGTACATATATAAACATCTCCACTTAAACAGTCCTCAAAACATTTTGACTTGCTACCATGTTATGTGACAGTTGTGGTTTTAAATGGTTTCTAATCTGTGCCTCACCTGCCAACTGGTAACCCTTAGTTCCAAAATATAGAGGCTTAGTTGATGCCTTTCGAAAGGGATTCTCTTTTGCTGGTTTCTTTATACACCAGTATGTTAATTTTTTACATTTTTGACTTTTCTATTGGAAACAACCAACAAATTTCTACAAATTTAAAAAATAAGCATCAAGGTAAAGGGGCTTATTTTCTTTTCATTTATTTAAGAAAGTGCATTGCTTTCATCCAAGAAAAAATAAAAGGTGGGGGCCATTCATAAAAATTCTCAAGATTAAGTATGCCAGGAAGTCAAGGAACTTTTTTTATATAGCATAGATGCTTATCTGGACAGCAGTGTGGTCTACGTGACTTTTATTAATTTTGGCAAATAGATCTCTTTGTAAAGTTTTCTTCTAAGCACTCAAAAGTCATAGTTTCAGGAAGGAGACTTTTTAGGGAATATTTTATTGGAAAAAAAATTCAACCAAAAATATTACAAGTACAAAACAAGGAAAAGACTTAAATTAGTATTTTTTATCTTGTGTTGAGGATGCAGTGTATGCAGAACTCATTGTATTTCTATATTTATCAAACAACTCAAGGGTTAACAGAAAGTAAGTGGACTTTGTTGTCGACATTTGTCTGAGAAGTCTGTCATTAATTCCTCTTCCTTATTCTCTTAATTCAGAGGATCTCTTGATATTGTTTAAATGTCAGTGTGTTTCCTCAGCTTTTGTTATGAATGCAGAATTTCTTAATGTTTCAATTTTTATAATGGGGAAACAGGAGTTACAGAATAGAACTTCAGCATAAGGGGTGGGAGTTAAGGTTTATTGATGCATTATTATTATAGGACTCAAGTTTATTTTGAATTCATGTAATGTAACAGAATTTTGAAAAAAAAATTTTGATTGAAGTTTGATTATAAATTTTACTTTTGAGTTATTTCCCCTTAAATATCACAGTCCTCATTTCTTGACTATAAGCTCATTGTCCTTTTATCAAAATCCTGGAGATGACCTACAGTTACTAGAGTTTTTGCTTTCTTATTGGTGACTAATATAGACCTCTGAAGTTTCTTAATTTTAGATAGCATTTGTTGCCATGGTTCTTGTACAAAGTGTCAATTTTGTTTTGCTTCGTTTCTAATTTAAGTCTGGATGTTTGTTCGTCATTTGATTTTGTGGAAACAAATGTCCGTAAAATAGAATTTTTGTTCAGTATAAATAAATTATCTATACAAAATAGACTTTGTTAAGTCTCCAGCATGTATGATCCTTCAATTGTTAGCACTAGTCAATGTGTCTAGGTAACTGTAGGTAAAGCATTATTGTATTATAAAGGGAATGGCTGAATTTTTTTTTATTAAAGTCAGTTCATTTGCCTTGTTTGTTTGTTTTTCTGTATCATTGATTAAAGGGATATTTTATGAAGAATTCAATTGATCAAACACAAAGAGACTTGAGAAAAAAAGAAATAAATGTAAGCTATGCTGCTCATATTACTTTTGATAATTAAAAGAGTTGAAGATTTTTAAAAAAGTGACTAGCATTTTCCACCAAAATATCAGGACTAATGAAAATAGAAGCTTTCAGTATCTTGATGCCCCATCATTTCAGAAGATGACACAAAGCTTTTCTCAATAAAGTTTCACTATTTATAGATAATGTCTAACCAAACACTTTTTAATATTACAGATCTGTTAGTGGTAGGATCTCTTCAAGTCGTAGTACGAGTGTTACACCAAAGATCGCCTCAAAGACGATGATCCATAACACACCGGACACCAATAATAGCCTGGCATCTAGTGGTTCCCATGTGGTGCAGATGGAGAGAGTGGTGTCCCCAGGCAGGAGTGACCACAATGATACCCAGAGTATGGACAGTTCACTCTCTGGAAGTCATTCCCTCCACTCGCCGAAACTGGATCACGTCCAGAGGAGTCGGGAAGGGACCCCCGGGGCTGAGGAAGAGGTTGACCAGGAGAGAGAAAACAATGCTCTCAGAGGTGCCAGTTTTATTGTTACTAACTCTGAATGTTTAGATACTAATTCCCATATATTGTCAGCCAATCAAAATGTACATGACAATGGTAACCTTGTATCTGTTAATCCTAAATTTTCAGGTGGTGGTGGTGGTGGAGGGCAAGATAGTTTATGTGCTAATAATGGGGAGATTTCTTTAGTTGATAATGATATTTCTACAGGGATAAGATCAAGAGAAAGAAATCTTTCTCTTGACCATTCAGGGAATGTTTCTCACCTTAAAGATGGCAAGAAAGTTATGTTTGCTGAAGATGTGAAAGATTCATCACCACCTTCAGAAACGTCAGATTCTTCTACAGAACAGAAACAAATTACAAGTCAAGCTGGAAAGTTTGTTATTACATTAAATGAGGAGATACCAGCGGGGACTTGTATAACTGTCAGTGTGGAGATGTCACCAGTGAAGGAAATACCTAACTCTTTAGTGGAGAATGATAGTAGGACAAAGATGGACACAGTCGATCAGTGTGTTGTAAGTGCTAATTCTCATCAGGATCCAGTGGATCATTGTGAACCATCTGCAGCATCAGGAAGTGTGGAGGAGGACAAGTCAGTGATGAATACTTCCCCTCATGGGGCTTCTCCTGAGGCAGACAAAAATGAAGTCAGCAGCTCAGATGATCTCATTGAAGACATTCCATACTACCTAGAAAGGAGGCTGTATGAAAATAATGGAGCAGATGTTCAAGAAACAACAAAAAGTCCTCCATTTATCAGGCGTGGAAGAAGCTCCAAAAAGAGGAGACCCACTAATATGCAGATAGAGCATGTTAAGGTGTATGAGGGGGGAAGCGAGTCCAGAAATGAATCCCCTGTGTCTGGGAGGTCTGTTTCCTGGGATAAGGTGACAAGTAAAAGTATGTCGCCATCAGGTAGGTCAGTGCTGAGTAGATCCCCGTCCACTGGACCACGACATTCCAGTAAATCCTCCCTAGAGAGGTCCCCATCATGCAACAGAAAGTTGGAGATCGTTAACATCCACAGACTCCCACCAAAGGACAGCTTCTCATCTATAGATGATACCACTAGCCCAACTCTGGAGAGGGATGTCATCAGACACATACAGACAAGGGGAATTCTCAGCAAGAGTTTGTCTTTCAGAGGAGAGAAAGACAGGAAGGTCAAAAGTCCAAATCTGTGCAAAAGTTCATCATTTCATGGGGAAAGAGATATCAGGAATAAGATTCCTAATGGGGAGGTAAAATTTATTGGTGAACTTCACAGAAAAATGAGTGAAATTGCGGGAAAGAAAAAACTGGAGGAGGAGAAACAAGATACTTGTTACAAAGAAATAAAGCTAGATGAGGAAAAACAAAATAAATGTTATAAAGAGGAGGAGTTAATGAATAAAACTGAGAAAGATAATAAGTCAGTAAGTCATGAGGTAGAGGAAACTAGAACTCATAAACAGGAGGGTGCCAGATGTGAAGAGATGCCTGTGTGCCTGGTCCAGGAGCTTTCTGAATGTATCAGACAAGATCTAGACCAGCCCTCACAAGCTGCAGCTTTCCTGATTCAGGATAAAGACCCCCCTTCCAGAATGCCCAACTTAAAAAACATCACATTTTCTACATTCAAACCTGTGGATATTTCCACAGGACCTGACTCTAAGCCTGGAAGCAGTGGACTGCGTGATTCAGAGACTGATACTAAGAGCGACTATGGTTCACTTCCCTCTGCTAAACATGCAGACAGCAAGAAGCCATTAGAGATCCAAATGCAGCCAGGAGATGTGGTTTTCAACCCAACAAATACTAAAGTTAAGCCTGTCCAGTCAGAGGTAGATCAGAGAGATAAGTTTTATGGTCCTCAGAGACCAAGAAAAGTAAGCTTCCACAGAGAAAGAGGCTACAAATATAGCTTTGAAAGTGTGAATGATCCTCCAGCATTTGCCCTAGTGGATCATTTTGATGACTTGTGTCATATTGATACAGCTAGACAAGGTCCCTCCAAGTCGGAGTCTACAGATGTTCTGGATGTCCTTGAGAGTTTGGAAGATGAAGATATGGTGGAATCTGACACGTCCGAGTCGTGCACATCCTCTCTAGACTCAAACGGCCAAAGTGAGCACAGCAGCAGTGATGAAGAAAGTCACAAGCAGGACGAGTTCCTGAAATTTGCCAAGAGTCTGGCAGACTCAGGGAAAGAAACCACCAAAGATTCTGGTGTTGGGGTGGATGAAGGTTTGGTGAGAGATCTCTCACAAGATGACCCTGGAGAAGAGGATAAGAAGGCTGAGGAGGAGAAAAGTGTACACAATGGGAGATCCTCCTCAGACACCCTCCCTGTGATCCCAGTATCTCTGACAGACTCGAGTCTGAGCTCTGTGGAGTCAGACAGTGATAGACCCCCTGGGTCTAAGAGATACAGTCTTGATCCCTTGGCTGACCTGGAGAATCCCAATGTAGCAGACGTCAACACCTCATTCAGTGATTCTTCATTAGAGGAGGATGAGGAATGTGTAACAGAACAGAAAGGAGGCTTTGTCATTCCGACCTTGACCTTTAGTCTCCCTTCGAGCCCTGATGTTTCTGTTGGGAGTCCACAAGGAACAAACAACGAATTTGGTTCATCTTATTGTTGATGATATGAGTTTCTAGCTTTGTAATTTGTAAATTGTAGAAATTATTATTTTTTGAATTGAAGCAAGTATGTCATTTGTAGTAAGAACTCTTCTGTAAAAGAGAGTAGGAAGAGTATGCCAATAGGGACAAGGGTGTTAGACTTTTATACACCATCACTATACACAGTTGAAAAAGTTGGGGGGGGGGGGGGGAGGTCAAAGGAAATGAAGTTCAGTTACACTATGACAGAAGAATCTTTTGCAAATCTGATAAAAAGAATTAATTGTTAGAGGCATCCTTTTAGAATTAATGGTGTGCTTTTAAAGTACATTTAGAAATAATTGCAAAAGTCTCTTCCTCCTTTTATGATAGATTTGAAAGAATGAAATTCTAATTCATGATATTAAAAACTTTTTGTTATATATGATATGTTTCTTTTTAGAAGTTCATTGAGCATATTTTCCTGTAACGCATACATGGGACTCCTTCCCCTGAAACATGGTTGTAGGCACTGAAATTTGTTTTCATTTCATAAGAGTTCAAATGTCCACATACTTCATAGAGGTATGCATTGGAAGGAGATTAGAACATGATTATACAAGTGTATATATATATATATATTTCATCATTTGGATTGTTGTTGTTTACAATACATATTTATTTAAGCACTTTTTTCACATTATGTAGGTGAAAGGGTAATATTTTTAAAGTTCATTACTCAGCAGAATTGATTGGCAGATCAGATTCTAGAAATAAACAATTTCTGCAGTGACTGTCTCACAATTTATTATGTTTTTAGTTTGGTCTATTATTATTTTTTTTTTTTTTCGAGCCTTCTGATCTTTGAAGGTGTACTATAGTTGTGATAATCGGTAGGGTAAGGAAATATTGCAGTAAATTCAAAGATTGTGAATGTTTTGTTGCAATAGAGTTTTCTCAGAAAAAGTCAGAAAAGTAAAAATTTTAGTAAGAGATTAATCAAAGGAACAAATTATAAGGTACGCTATAAGTCTATGATAGGTACATTAGGCAAACTTGACCAAAAGTAATTAATCTTAAGGAAATTCATCAAATATTGATGTGAGTACTTGTAATAATGATCTTTAAAACAAAAAGAAAATGTATAGAAATTATGAAAAAGTAAAATGAATATTTTTAGTAGACATTTTAGGATCCGTGTTATAGTATTCCTTTATTTAAAAGTTTCCAAAGCCATCAGACAAGATATTACAAACGCTCTTTTTTCACACACACAATATATTTGCTCACCTTTAATTTTGCAGTATTGAATCAATTCTCAATTTTATGCTCATAAAGAGGAATCTCATATTTTTGGGGAATGATATTAATTTTTGCCATAGATTTTTGTATTTTTATAGCCACCCTTTTGTTTTATTATGTAAAGTATGAGTTTTGATGAAGGATGTGTTTTAGATTCTGTGAATAGCTGTGATAAGAATTTTTGCATGTTATGCATAGATTCCCTTGTTGTCAAGCATTTATTTACTTATTTTTGTTATTTGTTGGGTTTTTGTTAGTTGTTTGTTATGCTCTTACAGAAAAATATTTATTTTTTAATTTGCAATTTCATATTCAACAGCATTACATATTCATTTCATGTTGCAGATAATTTTTAAAATATAGTAGCTGGCTCCAAGATTAAGAGGGGATAAAGTTTTGATGCATGATTATCAGATTTTTGTTGGCATGAATGATGAGCGATTTCATCATGTTTGTAGAATAGTTGTATAATCTGTGTTGTGATAAAACATTATGTGGAAGTTACGACAACTAAACAAAAAATCTAAACCATATGTTTTATCATGGTTATGTTAGCCTGCACCCACTTCCTGCTTGCATACCAAAATAAGCTTCTAGATATTATACAGCAATTAATGCATTGAACTTTAATTATTTGCAACAAAACGAAGTATAATTATGATTTGAAAGCTCTATGAAAGAAATTGAGTTTTAGCATGAGTGGAGTGTTTGTTCCATTGTCTTGAGTTTTACCCCACTTTTAATCAATTAATAAGTCAGCATAAATCAATATTAAGAAATTCTGAGATGATTCATGTTCCTTGTTGGGTATAATGATTTTTAGAATTGATCTGAAGTCATCTTAAAGATTTCTTGATAATGTAATTGGCCCGAGATTTGCACCTGCCTATTAATTGTCTTATTTATTGAACTGGAAACTCTTCATTAATGGTTTGTTGTGTTTCTTTGATTCTAGTGAATGGTTTTAATTGAGACAAGAAAAATTAAATTTATAGCTTTCAGGGTACTATAACATACATTTTTTCTCCCCCCTTTTTTCAAAGGGGGGGGGGGGTCCCAAACTTTTGTTCTTCAAAGAGACATACTATAAATGGTTTGTTTGATATTTGTTAGAATTGATGGAACAAAATAAATCTAATTTAGATTTCTGCTTTTCTGTGCGGATTAACGTTTGTATTCAGCATGTGCTGTATTTATAATGAGGATATGTACATATAGGTTAAATTGACCTATTTTTAATCTAAAACATTAAATTAAAAAAAAAAAAAGGAAAGAAAGATTTCCTTTGAATTTAATAAAATTATTCCTGCTCTTTTTAAAGAGGGAACTTCTACAAGAATGATTCTATATTTCACGAAGAACTATATAGCATTATATTTGATCTCAGTTGTCCTATCTTTGCCATGTTTTGCAGCATTGTTTTTACAATAGTCATAAATACATCTATATTCAATGTAGTAGGGATAGTAATGTAATGGATTCAATGAGAGAAAATACATGTTTGACTTTAAATCATGTTGCTTTTAAGCTATGAGGTTGTATCAGAAATATCTTTTACTAGATTAGGATAAGTGATGAGTGACATTTTTGACAAGGGATATCACGTGATCTATAATATCAATTATTTATTACTTATGATGAATTACTAAGTATTTTGCGAGCTAAAAATCCTGAAATATATTGATTTTGATAAAAGGAAAAAAAGATAAATTAGTCCCAATGGAAAAGTATGTCCGTAGTTTTCTGTTTTTTGTCAGATAAATTTGATCTGGATTCATAGGATAGATTTTTTTTTTTTTTTTTGGTATTTAACCTTTATGAAGAGCTGATATCAGTATGTTTGGCACACTTGATACATGGGTGAGTAAAATGTGTTTTGGTTAAAACAGGCTCTGATACCCCTGAGCAGAATAGACTTAATTGATAGAAATGAAGAAAATGGCAGAATTCAATATTAAGAGGTGACTTGGTACAGAGACACGTAAATGAAAAACTGGGATGATATTGGTTTTCGATTGGGAAAATGTGCTTTTCTTGGTCACTCAAACCAAAGTAAAATTCTGTTCATTGCCTTCAGGTCTTTTTAATACAATTGACAAGAGGGCTAAAAATTTATACACAGACAAATTAGCCACATCTGATGAAAAAGGGGGGAGGGGATTATATATATATTTATATATAATTTTTTTTTTTTTTTTTTTTTTGGTCAGCTTTTTGGAGAACAAAATTAATTTTTTTGTAATTTTGTACGATAAATTTCGACAAAATAATTTCAACTTAAAAATGTATTACTTCGGTTGGCATTGTCATTGCATTCTGCTTTGGTTTTACTGAATTTGCAGTCAGGCTAACATAGTTGTGTGATCAATTTGCAAACTTTATATGCTTTCTTAATTTTCCTTGTGCAACAGAAAACTGATATTGGTATTGATATATTTTGAATTTTACTTTCATTGTGATTTTGATGCATTGCACATTTTGTGACAAATAAATTGTATATTTTTTTAATGTTTAGCAGTTTTAAGGGACTCTATATATATCATAACTGTGTACATCAATTCATAATTTGAAATGAAAAATTATTCATTAAGGACAGGGGAAAAAAAGAAATACTCTAAATATTAAACAATATGATTAGTTAGAATTATAAATAAAGTTAGACTTGGGATAAATGTCTGTCTTGATATGGGTTGGGTTGTTTTTTGGAGGGATGGGGTTGATCAGTGGGTCTTGATAAGGAAGTCAGGTCTCAAAACTGTCTCAGCTGGGTATATTAGAGTTGCATCCTTAATGCCTCTTTTCCAAATGCCAATGAATATATTCTGTATAGTTATTTTTGCCGTCTCACACTTGCAAACTATTTTGCCCCTTTAAAATTTGCCCATACACAGTTGTGTCAATTTAAGATATAATTCTTATCTTTTTTAATTCACCCTATTTAAAGTGCCCACTTGCAATGAGGGCAAAAGGGGTGGGGAAAAAGGGGGGGGGATTTTCCCTGTATACAGTAATTGAAACAGTGGGTTTTTAAAAATTATTTTACCCTGACCATTTTGGAAAATTCATAATCTTGACTTTTTGAAATCTATTTTTTCTTCATCTTTGTTAGAATTTTACATAATTGTTAAGGGATTTCAAGAGCATAAACAATAAGGTGTGCAAAAATGGCAAACTAAAAGCATTATTGGGAGAGATTCATAGCAAGGTTCATCTAAATCCTGACATTACAAATGAATTTAAAAGATCTGTAGTAAGCTACTGCATTTGAAGGGGTTGTGCAAAGTTTTAGGAGGGAAAACCTAATAAACTTAAAATCAACTTGATCTCACCAAGTCATTGCTAATGGAGTTGGTATATTTTTCTATGATATTAAATGGAGATTAGACATGCATTTGTTTTAGTTTATTTAAATAAAATCTTCAGCTTTCTGTGAGTTCAACATTTTCGACTAGAAAATGGCATTGCTAAATCTATATTCTTTGCTTTATTCATTTGTTTCACTTGATAACTGAAGCAGAGATATTTTTAATTGTTCACTTTAATTAATTTTAAATTGACATTCTTTGATTTGTCTGTCTTTAACAAGAATTATAATGAACACTCATCAAAACAAAGCACCTGTAAACGTATGCATCTTTATTGATTATTTCAAAGTTTACACGTCAATAAAAAAAAAATAGTATATTAAAATGAAAAATTCTCTCTATTGTATAGTGGCCACAGCTTAGTTTATAAAATTTCCTTTCCCTAATAACTTATGTAGTCTTTGGTAAATTGTTTTTGCTAAATC